CACAAACTATCTAAAATTATACACTCAGGGAAAGTCTTTCTGTAAAACATTTAATTCCCGATAAACAAACAGGGCAGAAGGGGAAAAAGAACCTGAGCCAAAGCATATAACAAAACTATAAATGCGGGACTCTTGAAGTCACTACCTTGGAGCCTGATTCTCAAAAAGTAAAAAATAAATAAACACTTATACAGCAGTGATGGGAATTTTCAGAGCATCTTTTATGCATGAGTAGAAATGTGCACTGCACTAAGCTCAAAAAAGAAAAATTGTGGGTTTCTATGAATGTATAGCAGTTTAAATATAGGGTAGGGAGTTGGGGGACGGAAGAGGGCCAAATGAAAAAGGAGTCAGGATTACCCTCAGCAGTCAAAAACACATTATCATGAAGAAGAGCCAGTGAATCCTGTGCACTATAATGGCCCACTTCCCTCTCCATCCTGCTGATGCCTCCGTCTCTGGCAGATGGATGTAGTAAGCTACATTCATCATTCCAAGAGAACTAAAGGCCCAGACCTCAGCTCCTCATCCATCAGACTGGGTAGTGCCTAACTACTGGGAGATAGGTAAGTTCTTTCACAAATGAGTTGATGAAATCAAGATTTCTAGTGCTACCATAAACTGAAGATTAGAAGTGAGGCAGAAGAACTTTATTTCTTCCAAAGACACAGTTACTGCAGCTATAACAAATCTCTTTAATGGAATCAGTTCCACAGCACCCAAGAATGGCTTGCAGGCCAGAGATGAGCTGTTGCCATTACACAGTAGAGCCTGGAGTTCGAGGCATGGGATTTCTCACCCCTGAATTCATATGCAGGATTGTTCATTCCATCTCCCAGAAATGTGAGGTATTTTTAGAGTTGATTCGAAGCCAGGTAGAGCAGGACAAACATTAAAACATCAGGATTGAAGGGAACCTTAAAGTATAATTTACTTCACAGGTAAAACAACTCAACTGAGGCTCTGAGGAGTGGTAACTTGCTCTTCACTAATTAAGCTCCAGAAATTTGGCACAGCCAGTGAATATCTCTGGGAGGCATTGACATCACAGGAACAGGAGCCCTAAATGAAGACAATTTGGTCATTTTTATCAGTCATACAATTACTCAGCAGCAGTAGACCAAAAATTCCTGTGAATGGGTATAAAACCATAGCACTGTACTGAAAGGCCAAAGCAGGGACTATCCACTACATAACTCAATCTGAAGATCACTGACACACTATGTCTAAAATATCTGCCCCACCTATTAGACAAATGGTTTTAATGTCCACATAAGATTCATTACTTTATATCAATACATTATCTGGAGAATATCTCTATTAACATTCAATTATATTATCTCAAAGAAAAGGCCAATGAGTCTGAGCTACTGTTTCACAGCCATTTAATGAGAGGATTTCATAAAAGAATCAGTAACTTAGCTAAAGTCCCACAGTAAGTAATGGAAATATTAAGATGTTTCACTAATGTCCTCTTCTCAATGACATGATAATTCTATCGTAATAAGAACTTAAAAACAAAATGAATTCTGCCTCTCTTTTTCCTCAATTTCTCCAACATGGGTCGATATGCTTTATGTTATAATTTTACCACTATAAAGAGACCTATGACAACTAAGTCAAAAGTAGAAACAGCTAGCAGATAGCCGCCACATTACCCCTCTTTCCCCAAGAAAGGAGCATAGTTTCCCTTCAATAGCTGGAGATGCCTAATGCATAATTAAAATATGACCTTTAAGTAGAGCAGCCCTTCTTCCCAAAATGTTTCCAAAAGAAAAGCAGTTTTAAAAATATCCAGGGGTACAATAACTTTGCTCTATTTTTAGAATATCCTTAAATTTAGAAAAATTTCTCTGTTGGTTGATCATAGGATCTTTGAGAATGGTTTGCAACCTCCCAACCTGCCCTGTAGGCTTTGACATTTCTTTCCAAACAATTATTAATCACCCCGAAGTGCAGGAGATAGGTGAGATATTTTGTGCCATTTTACAAAAGCCAATATGAAACATAGAAGCACAAATGACTTGACAGGATCTCAAAGAGAACACAGAAAAGAAGAAAGCTCGATTTGACTCAATAGTTTAGGTGTTCTGGATTCTCTGAAAGTAGGAGGAGTCACTGATTTCATTCACTACCACTTTTTAGTTAACATGATCACAAATGTTAAGCCAACAAATGAATCAGGTGATAGACAGGTATCTAGATGTCGCCTGCTTGTGAGGAAGCTCATAGCACTTTGTGTTTCATTCATTCATGTTAAAGGAACTTAAGGCAACTTTGCTATCAATCCTAGAAAGATAAGATTTTATTATAGGAACAATATATACAAATTCTGACAGGCAGTTATCATATACAGAGTGCCAGCAAAATGAGGTCAAGAATAACAACTCTTTTTATGTTTTTTAAGTTTATTAGTACATGTGTGTAGCACATAATGTTTACATTCCTTGTAGGGAGTTGGTACATGTACATAACACATTCCTTTTCTCAGGCCTTATCCCTTCCCTTCCTCCCACCTCCACCCATACCTTGATTCTTTTACATTTTTTGTGTTTGTCATATATAATGTTTACATTACTTGTGTGAAGTTGGTACATGTACATAACACACGCCAATTCTTTTTTTCATCTGTAGTACTTCCCCTTTCCCCCTCCCTCCATCTCTTGATCCACTTCTAGAAAGAAACCATTCATTCAATAACATAAGCCTTTTTGAAGAGAAACTTCTCTGAACTTCCTAAAAGGAAGGTAGCTGTAGAACAATTTAGATTATTTCTTCTTCAAGAAAAACATAAAAGAAGCAATATTAGCTAAACACTCCATGCTATTGTATTTAAATACTATTCTGTTTTCTCAAAATATATTTCTGAATATTTATCAAGGACAAAATAATCATAACTATGAATTTGGAATATTCTTGTCCCCATCCACACTGGCAGTTAAGCGCTGGTGATTTTAACTTTCAATTTATGCTTTCTTGTATCTGAGAAACATTTATTAACACAGTTCATAAATCCAACATTTAGTAAGTGATGCCATCCACCTGGCTCTCTCAGTCCCTGTGGTGGATTGACAACTGGTGGTCAACTTATAACCCCCAGCTGAACTGAGTAAGCATGGTGCTGTGTGCAGGAGGCCCACCTGAGGACTGTTGCCAGCAGCATAAGAGGCAGAACTGGGGAAGAAGAAGGAGGCTGCTGGGAGCAGAGAAAGGCTGTTGGGAGCTGGTAGAAGCTGTAAGGAGCTGGTAGAAGCTGTAAGGAGCTGGTGATTCTGTTGGAGGAGTTTGTCATGCTGGCTTTCCTGATGAACTTTGCTGTTTTCATCCTCTGACGAGCTTGGGACCTTGTTGGCACTGAAAATAGCTTTGGTTCACTTTGGCAGAGCTGTGGTCCTTACTTGTGCATTGCTTCCTGGCACCAGAGGGGAAGATGGTGCACTGCCAGCCTCCCAGAGGAGCTTGCTGTGTTGGCTTTCTTGATAGGAATTTGGCCATCTTGATCACTGGAGGAGCTCAGGACCTCACTATTGCTGAGGATGGCTGTGGTGCCTCTCAGCAGAGTTCTGGTTCTTACTATGAGCATCGCTTCCTGGCTCCAGTGTAGATCCCTCAGCCTGATAGCACAGATCATTTATCCCGCTGGCATAGACTTTCTAGATGCCACCACTGACCTTTAGGCCTTCACAGTGCAGATCCATGAAACGGGCCCACATGAGATATTGTTGTGGGCTCTGGACTTCCAGGTGGATTCATGGGAGGCATTGTTATGAGTGCTAGGTCTTAAGTTGGACTCATGCAGGACATTATTGTGGGATCCAGGCTCTCAGCTGGATTCTTGGTCTATAGTGTGTGGACAGGTTTCCTGAACTCTCTTGTGTATCGTTCTTTGGGTGACTATTATAAATAATCATATAAAATATGTGTCCTGTATTATATTCTTTTCCTTTGCAAATATAAGTCCCAAACCATAACAGTTCCCAAACCCATATGTGTAGTGAATTTTTTAAAAAGCTATTTGCATGTAAAGAAGCTTTTCTGAAAATTTCATCCAAAATCAACTGGAATAATATCAAAATCCAAAGGGTAGGGGTAACCCCTCTGTACATAAGCCATTTTGTTTTAAATGGCAACATTTACTCAATAAATTATCCTTGCGGAGGTTGGAAATTAAATTTAATCTGTAATCCTTCAGAAATACTTCATTCTTTATAAGAAATACAGTTATAATTATAATATTTTGGACATGCATTTATATTCAAAATTGATCCTCTTCTTTGCAATTTGACTTGCCTTAAAAAATTCTGTTTCTTATCTGACTCTTATGGGAAATGGGATTATTCACTTTATTTATTTATGAATTCATATTTTAAACCTTTTCTCCTTAGAGTAGACAGTGTCTTACAAGTAACACTTCAAAATTTTATCCACTCTAGCTTCTAACAATACAGTAAGGAACTTTGTACTTTACTTTTGAGTTAGCCCAACACTTTTCCTATGCTCAGAAACTTGGAAAAGGAAAATCAGAAAGGTGGAGAAGTTCTTTCTGCTCCTGAGAGCCTACAAAGTATAGCAGCAAATCTTAGATTTATTCAAATTATGAAGAGAAGAAAAGAGAAAAACATGCTGAAGGGAAAGTAGCAAGTGTTATTCACAAGAGAAATATTGATGACAAAGGTTCCTTAGATATACCAAAGGTTGAACTGACCGACATACATACTTATCTAATCTTCACATGGGGGCACAGAAGGAAAAATAGCCAAGCTGGTATATACAAGAGTAAAAGAAAAACCAGTGTATCCACTTAAAAATAAACAAACAACAATAAGAACAACAACAAAAAACAATATCTGAGGTGAGAGGAGGGTAAGACACAATTTCACTCCCTAGTATTTAAATATAATTTCCTCAAGCAAAAACCTGGCAAAATACCTCATACTTCATAAGTTTCCATGCCACTCTCTTGCTCCTTTTGTTCAACTGCCATTTAATGAATATTTAACATGCGTTTGGTACTGAGACCATTGAATGGAAAGGTGAATAAGACAGTCCTTGCTCTTGAAAGGTTAGCCTACAAATGGCAATGAGCATTGAAACAGATGAGCTACACGTCCCACAGAGTCTACACCAGGGTTTCTGTTTATCCAGATGTAACAAGAGTTTTCATAGAAGAGATAACGTGATGTACGATATCTGACTGAGATAATGACTGTGCTTTAAAGGTAGCAAGGAAAAAGTTTATTCTGAGCCAAGTATGAATGACCATGGCCTGGGAACACAAATTCATGTCACCATGACTGACACATTCCACCAGGAAGGACGTATGTGAACTTCTATAGTAACAGAACAAAAGAAAATCACAAATCATTGTATTTACCAAAAAGAGTGGGAGGCGAGCCATGTTAGACAGGCTACAGGAAAGCATGAATTCTATAGACTTCAGATGTTATCTTACTGCATTCTTAGCTTTAGGACTGGTAGAGGGTAGATGTCTGTCAAGCTTAGCTATACATCCCAGGAGTTTGATGTAGTAAGCAGGAAGATATTAGTCAAATTTAGAGGTTGATAGCAAGTGACTACTAAAAGAGACTAAAGATAGCTGAGAGAACTTTGACTCTTGAGCTGCCACATTCCCTCTCTCTATAATCTCACAGCTGAGATCAAACAATATGTGACTGTTCATTGTAGATGTGGCTTCTTCAGACAGGTGCAGCTCACAGTGGGGAGGAAATATAAGGAAACCACTGTAGGTAGATGGAAGAGAAAAATTCATATTACCATGACTGCCATATTCATCCAGGACATAGCTTCAACATATAGCATGACATGTACAGAAAATCTCAAGTTGGTTGGCATAGCCTGAGCAGGGCACTGGAAAATACAGGGTAAGTAAAATAAAACTAGAAATGGAAAGAACAAATGAGAAACCCCTGAATCACTCTGCAGGAGACGTCAGCAAGGGCAGCGTTGGATTTTTATTGAATGTGAATTAATCCTGTCCAACACGAGTGTCAATTCTCAACAAGTGCACTCTTCTATGTACTTATAGTCAAAAAGCCACCTGTCAATTGCTATACAGTCCTCTGCAGTCACTTGTAGAACTACTCAGCACAGTACTGCAAATCAGTGAAGACTTTCTGAAGGAGGTTCTTGCTCAGTTGAGACTTGAAGTACAGGTAGGAATGAAGCAGGTGAAGAAGCATGGGGGAGAAGAGCTGAAAGGGAAGAGGGACCAGCACACTTCAAAGATCAAGGTAAGGAGCAAGGGGATACTTAAAGAAGCACTGATCCTAGAACCCTCAGAAATTGCACTCAGTGAGTAGGATTTTGTCCAGAAAGCAAGAATAGCCCAATGTGATAATGTAAGGTACACAGTTGCACAAATATGTATGCATTGTAGAGCAATTACTCTGGTTGTGTTTTGAGAAATTGGCTGAAAGCAAATACGCCTGCAGACAAAGAGGACTGTTTCAACAACCTAAATGACAGATGGTAAAGATCTAACCTATGTTAAGAACAGTGAAGCTGGAGAGATGAGCAGATTTAGAGATATTTAGAAGGCAAAAACATATGATTCATCGATGGACTACATGTCAGTTGAAGGAGGGAAAAATAAAGGTGAAGACTTTTTAATTCATTGGACAAGTATCTATGGAGGGCAAAGTTATGTCATCTGAGGTTCTAGAACTTAGAAATAAAATGGTGAAGAAGGTAAGCTAGGTCCCTGTTCTCATACAGTTCGTGTCCTGGTGGGGATGATGTAGCGAGAGGCAGATAATGAATGCATGAACAAGTCAGCAGATTAGATTATTTCAGATGGTAATGAGTTCTATGAATAAAATGAGTAGGATAAACTTGTGGTGATGTGGGCAGGATCTAGGTGCCACTTGATTTTTAGGTCCTGGCAGTGTATTTGTATTGCAATCTATATTTTCTCTGACATTTTTATTAGTGCATATTTATAATGCAAATTAATACATTTTATTTTGGCAGATTTGTATATGTATATAACATATTTTAATCATTATACTCAAAGCCTTCACACACACACACACACCAGTTCTATATGTTTTAGGGGAGATTTGAATGTGTATAATGTATTTTGATGATATTCCTGCCCCATAAGACCACTCTTGCACTCCTTTCTACCACTTCTTCCATTCCTCCTGTCCTATAATAGTCCTCTTTCTATTGCAATCTATTTTTAAAGGACAGCAATGAAAATCTAAAGTGATACAGAGAAGCCAGAGTCAAAGACATAATTTTGGAATCTATTTGCATATTCTGGATAATTAAACCTTGAGGTTGGTGGAAGTGCTTAGAGAAAATCTTTTTAGAGTGGAGATTATTCCCAAAATCTTTTCATAGAGCATAATGAATTAGTCAAATATTTTTAGTCATATGATAGAGATTGACTTCTGGCTTCCAGTGAGCATGCAAGAAGCTTGGAAGTTACTATTCCATTTTAACAAGGAAATGTCTGAATATAATGGAAACTAAACAACTCTCCTTACATCCATCAGAAAGATGACATCACAGGGCAAATCATTGCCCTCCCCAAATTGTGGAGACTTGTAGATGTGAAGAATCACAATCACTTGCTATACCTTGTATCCAGATGTCCCCCTATAGGCTCATGTGGTCTTGGGGAGGCTCTTTAGAGGTGGCTGGCTCTAGTGTGTGATGCTTGGACTACGGTGTGTGATTAACAAATCATCCCACTGATTGGTTTGGCACAGTTGTGAGAGTGAGCAATGGGAAGGCCCTCCTTGGGTGTGAGTGCTACCTGCTCTAAGGGCAGGTAGTCTGGATAAAATGTAAGGGACAAAAAGAGGGCTGCTACTTTGCTTGTTGCTCATTGCTTGCTACTTTTGCCACCTATTGCCTCCCATGAACTGTTTCATCTGCGATGCCTTATTGAGAGCCACTGGAGTTGGTTGTTGATCATGTGTGTGAGGATGGGACAGAGCCAGAGTGCCTCAGGCAATCAAACTACCTCAGTATTGAAAAAGGTATCCTGCTTGGACAATTACAGTCTTAGTCGTTAAACCATGTTATCTCTCAGGATACTACTTTGCAAGTGTATAAAATAAATGCCGCTACTGTTGAAGTCAGTCCTGGTGCTCATCAGGCAAGAGGTAACTCCACCTGACCCCAGCTCTTGTCTCTTGTCTTTATTTTTCTCATACCCACCGCCGTTTCTCTCCGGAGTACAAAGAGAGATCAACAAGGTTCACTATAACACTTTGCCATGCAACCCTGCCTGGAGCCATCAGATTATGGACCGAAGCCTCTACAAACTGTGAGCTAAAGAAACCTTTCCTCCTTTAACTTTGGGTGTCATCAGGGGCTGATCAGGCCCCCAATCACCTGGGTGTGACAAAGGATGAAAGAGACAGAGCTGCTAGTTCAGAATGCAAGGAGGTCCAGAGTGTCAGAGCTCTTATCAGGCTGACTAAGAATCCCTGAACTTTTCCCTCTTTATTGAATGCATACAGCTTTTCCAGGGGGCATGGAGGAAGATCCTGGGAGCAGAAGAGTGGAGTGCATTGAGGCAAGCAAGGTCTAGTAAGAGACAAAGTGTTATGCCATTGATCAATAGCAAACTTATTTTCCCTTTGGGTTCATATTTACTTCTATAGAATTTTGCACCAGACTCAGAAAGTCCCCAGCTGAAATACTACCTCATCTTTTGAGATGTCACAGCATCACAGGTCATAGAGACCCCAACTGAGACCAGTGGCGTAGGGAATTTTGTTTCCTTGCGCCAACTGCTGCCTCCTCAGGCAAGGCACACAGGCCTAGGACAGACTCAGACATTTAATATAGACATCCAACTTACGGATTTGTAGCTTGTTCAGAGTGGTCTCCATCAGAGTATCAAGTATTTTGTCTCAGCAATGAGAAAAGTGACCAAGATATTACCAGAGCAAAAACCTCTAAAAACCAAAGCTAAGCATGGCTGGCAAATTGCAAGAGGCTTGCTGTGGGCAAGTCTGAGCGTTAAAAACTCCCTGACACGGGTAGCTCAGTCACAGGGGCCAGTGCAGTTTTGCACATTTACTACAGGTTCTGTCTCTGAGGAGAACGGAATTCAGAGCCCAAGGGCATAGACTCCCTGAAAGACCCTAGAAGGGCTAAAGGTGCTGTTCAGTGGTAGAGCGCTTGTCTGGCATGCAGGAGCCCCTAGGTTTGATCCTCGGTATAAGAAAAAAAAAGACTGTGGAACTCTCCCACTACATCTTCACCACGTCACTAATGGCCCATTGACCAGCATTTCTTTGACCTAAGACCTGCCTGACTTTGAACAACAAAAACAAAAACAAAACAACACAAGGCACAATTTTAAAAATTCAGATTTCTGAAGAGATACCCACAAACGTTGCGACTACAATCAGATAAATATGCAGTGATATTGCAATTATTAGATCACTAATTTAAAACAACAGTGATTCATACGTTTCAACATCCTCAAGACTCTGACAGAAAACATACACAACAAGCAGAAACAAATGGGTTTCTAAGCAGATGGAAACAAAAAGAAAAGGAAACCCCTGTAACAGAAGGAGAAGTAGGAAAAGTGCATGCGCATGCTCTGTACCACCCTTCTACCACGGGGGTGCTCTGAGCCCTTTGGCATGAAAACCTCTTGGGTATTTACTGAAGAAAAGCATCAGTTTGGGTGAATTCAGGGCAGTTCTACAAAGCAAAGCCTGTTCCTTTTGCCCAGGCACGGCAGCTCTGCATCTGAGCTGCTGTCGTCTCCGCACCACCGGCTTTGTGGCTTCATTAGGCTCTGCTACCTGGAAAATTGATGGGAGGGAAGCTTCGAGTACAAGCGCTCCACTCACTGAAGCATTTCATAACTGCTGCTTCCACACTGTCCGGGCGTATTACACTATCAGTTGTGCGACTCCTACTTATTACCACTAATTGCTGCAGAGAGAATGATGCTGACCACGGCAGAGCAGCTACTAAACCTAAGAAGGTAAGGCCAGCAGCATTTAATGGTTTATTGAGGCCATCGAGAAATTCTGTGAGGAGAATCAATTTCCCTGTAACTATCTGCCTGATCACAGCAAAAGGCGCTCAAGTTTTTAATAGTAAATAAGGTCCTCCTGAGGATGAACCATTAATTCTTCACTGAAACTTGCCCTTTACAGTAAGTTATTCATCATAAGCTATGGTTCATCTTCCCACACACCTCTTGGCTCATAAGTGAATTTCCAAAGCTGGATTCCCTATGATAAATGCCAATGATTTACATATATTCTTCATCCCTTATTTGTAGTAAAGGGCCCTGTGAGCATGTTCAAAAGAGACCCAAGCAAGTCTTTGTTCTTTTGTTGTTGTTTAAGTTGTTCTCTTTTGAGGGGACATTTTTGCATGAGTTTTATCATGAAAAGGATTTATGAAAATAAAATGAACTCTGTGATCACTGACATTGCTCTTTTTGACTGGAATTTCTAGAAAAAGGAAAGGCTTTTATTGCTTCTTGTTACAAGTTAATTGTGAGTGTGGGGTTTATTTTAATCTAATGGCCCTTAATATTTTAGAATCAGAGATTCAAGAATCTGCTGAAACTTGAATTTCTGCTGAGACCAAACACACAAAGGAACATACACATAAGTTTCTATAAGGTATCACTATGGCTGCCAGGGTTATGTTTTCATTTAGATGTTTCCCCCAAGGCTTCATGCAGTCGTATGTGGGGCCTCCTCAGGGATGGATGAATCTAGAGTGTGTGACTGATTCACGGTGCAGTGCTAGGATTAAGGGCGCTAGTGTTAAGGGTAGCTGATTACTAAATCAGACCACCGATTGGTTTGGCACTATCTAATCCTGGTAGCTTGGATGCAATACAAGGGACAGAAAGAGGCTTGTCTTGTCCCTTGCTTGTTTTGGGACCTTCTACCCACCATAAACTGTTAGTCCTCTATGATGCTTTGTCTGCAGTGCCACCATGCCTTTCACCCAGCCAATTAGGTACTGAAACCTCTACAAACTGTGAGCAAGATACATTTTTCTTCCTTTAACTTTGGGTGTTGGTACTTTTGTCTCCGCAATGAGAAGGTATGTGTGACACAGGGGTAGGTTTCACAGAAGCTCAAGGACTTGAGTAAGCACTCCCTGCTAAAGGGATGAACTAAGTGTTTTGTTCGCTACAGATTGTGTCCTTTGTGCCCTTTCATTCAGTGCTGAAGAATTCCTTTCCTTCACTCTTCAAGGAATGGTGAACATGTTTGACTTGATATTCAACCCATGAATTGTTCCCTCCAGTGGTCATGAAAGTGAATATGGTTAATTTATTTTAGTGTCTGATGTAGCTACTGCTCTGTGTCTATTCTTTAACTTCTCAGAACATTTCTACCCCTTCCATCCCACAGCCATCCAAAGTTCACCCACACTACTCATAGACCAGCTAGCATAGGAAGTGCCCTGATTTTTGTGTCTCTTCCTCCTGTGAACCTGTCCCAGATTAGTCTTTAAGATTTTTTTCCATACAACTTAGCTTCTCCGTGGCACTGCCTCTCAGATATCCAGTGGTGTGGCACAAGGAACATACCAACTTGCCCTGCACCTAGGTCAGGCTCCAGGAATTTGGAAACTATCTTGGATACTGGCATCCTGAATGCCCAAAATTGATTACGTCAGACCAATCAATCCTCCATTCATAAGGGAACTACAAAAACACTTTGTCTTCTCTTTTCACTGATTATGAAAGTAAAGAAACACATTAACCAGTAACCACCTAAGGCTCCTCTATGTAGAAACATTCAAGTCTGACTCTAAGAATATACAGGAAGGATAAAGTTTCTTTTTTCTTTTCCACCTTTTAAAAGGAACAAAATCTGAACTCTTCACCACCCACTTTGTCTCCTCACTTCTGTGAAGAAATCCCAGAACACAAAGATCCTTGTTTAGCTCTGGAATCTTCACTAGATATTCTTGCATTTCCTTGTAAGACAGTGAGTGGCAAGCCTGGCTGAGTTGTGGGTGTTCAGGCAGATTATGTAAGTAGCAAGAAATTCATTTTTTTATATTAAAAGCTAAGCTTTCACTTCTGAGCATAGTTTTAGTCCTTATGAAGAGATATAAACATACCAAAAATCAGGACAGCATGTACCCTACAGGAAGAAATTTCTTCTACCATTGTAGATTCAGAAACTGGAGCCTGAGAGAAGAATGAGGTAAAACATTAAATCTCAGAAGAATAATTGCAACACAGATCTCCCAGGAAACATGTGGAAGTGGTGTGGAATCCCAGACAGGAAGGTAATTTCCTATTTCTCTGGACACCACTTAGAAGATTGATTGCATGTCAAGGCAACCCAGGAATATCCTCTGCCTGTTGGGAGGCCCCATGGTCAGCACTGCCCTGGATAAAACATGGCTGTACCTGGTCAGCCATGTGGAAGCATTAGGTGTGTTCATCAGAAATTGTCATCTGGTATATGGCCAACTGTCCCAGATGGGAAATGAAGCATTATGAAAGACATTAACTGGTTACCAAGTATAGAAACAAAATATCATTGTAGAGGATGAGGCATACACTGCATAAGCCAAGAACTAAAAGGAGGATGAGCAAAAAGGACCAACTTGGGTAAGATACAACACCTGGCTGAACTCACCCAGGACAGCTGGTCCTTGAACTAGGTAAGAAAATCATGATACTTAGACACTCCTCCAAAACCCCTCTGCTTATCTACCCATGTCATCAGATGCTGTACATCTCCTTTTGTGTCCAGATGCAGTGCAGGAAGAATGAAAACAAAGGTCATTGCCTAAAATATTGTGTAATTAAATCAAAGTAATTTAATTTTTTAAAAGTTTAACACACCTTTGATAGAAAAAGCCATACATTCCCAGCAAGAATGGGAGAGAATGAGATGAGATTACAAACATAAGCTTACATATTTGTGTATCACTTGGACAAATCAGTACATTTTGGATGCAGTTCACTTGCCATGTTAAAAATAGGAGAGGGAATAGATACAGCTATATCTATTACTATATCCGTTATTTGGAGAAAACTACACATATGCAAATTATGTAAATTTCCTCAATATTTCAGTTCACATAAATACATTCCATATACTTTATCCACATGGAACCCTAATATAGAATCATGGTAGTTCATTCCATGGCTAAAATTTTCATATTACCATATGATACGACCATACCTACTTCCTAAAGTCATTATAAGGAATCTACTTGATTTAAAGATGTTTACGAGTTTTATGTTCTGAAGAAAAGTAATGATACTGAGATTATAGTCTTATGTCAGCCATACAGTGCTCAAGTATTCCAAAGAATTTTTATGAGAAGTATTCAAAATTATTGAACCTCCAGTAACTGCTATGATTTCTTTATGTTAAATATATAGCTTTGCATTGCACATTGTGTATGTATGCTATTGGAGAAGCAAAAAACTTAGCAAGGTAGCGTAAAAAAAAATTCCCTTTTTTTCAAAGAAACATTCAGAAAAAACATATAACTGACTTGCTTAAATGTGAAGCTTAACTGCAAAGGTTCTAAGGAGATTAAGCGATGGAGAGGGGAAAGTAAGGGAAATAGGATGAAAAAAAGGAATGAAGATTGTTATGTGCATGCACCAACCCCAGACAAGGAATGTAAACATTATGCAGTGCAAACATGTGCTAATAAAAAATAAATTTAACAAGATTTACTTTATACCAGGAGGCTCACCAATCATTATATAGCCATGGTTCAATATAATAAATACACACACTTAAAAGTTTCCTCTCAAAATAGGTCCAGGTTCTCCAGAGAACCCCAAAATTTCCATTGCTCTCTTCCTCCACAGTGTATGTTAAAATATCACTTGCTGAAGCTTAGTAATCTACTTTCTAACCTCTTAAAAGACTTATCTTGGGGCTGGAATGTAGCTCAGTGGTAGAGCATTTGCCTAACATCCATAAGGTCCTGCATTCAGTTCCCAGCAGCATACACATGAAAATCAAAATAAATGATATGGATAGTTTAAAAAAAGATTTAGACAGTTTGGTGGTTTCCAGTTTTCTTCTATTAATGCATACTTCAAACAGAGCATGGGAAGGTAAACTGAGTCTGTGTTTGTGCATGGAGGTCTACCTGGTGAGGTCTGTTCAGTCTGTTTTTTAATTCGCTCTAGTTGTGCCACACTACTTCTCTTCAGGACAGTTGTGAAAGCACAAGTTCAAGCCTTTGACACCTATGTTATTTCATCTCTACAAAATTCCAGAATTCAAGCAAGGAGGATAGCACTCACTTATATGCTTCATAAAACCACAAGACTGGTCATAAACTTTGATTACAAACTTACACACACTCGTACTGAGCTAATTAAATGAAAAACTCTTAAACTTGGGGCAAATTCATAATTGGAGCCATTTTGGAGAAAGCTCACATTCTCATCTTGGGACCCTTTGTACTCTAAAAAACAGCTTTCAGTGTAATCAAACACTTGCACTACTCTTGACAAATTATCTGCTATTACCACTTCCAAAACTTTCTTAACTCAGGCACCACACAACTATGGCTACTGTATAATCTTGGACAAAATTATTCCAGGAGTGTCTAAAATTTTGGAATATTAACTTAAAAAGTTAATTCTCTCCCAAAGTTTTTTTAAATTATTGAGGATCGCCTGAGTTTTTTTCTTTTTATAAAATATTAATAATTAATATCAATTAATTGACTTTATTCCTCACTTTGGAAAGACTAATAAGTACTCTAAACTCTTCTAATAGTTTACTCTAAAATCTATCTTTTGAGTCCAAAACTAATGGTTTTCAAAAGTAAGTAGATGGGCTGGGGAGATAGCTGCACGGCACAGCGCCTGCCTGGCAAGCACAAGGTCCTGAGTTCGATTCCCTGTACCAAAAAAAAAAAAAAAGGCAAATAGATCTTTCCAAAAATGAAATGATTTCCTCAGCAGGTAGAGTCAGCTTAACATGAGGCACACGTTTTATACACATATATAAA